TTTTATTTAGCAAGGTGAAAATAACTCGTACACATTTGGGCGAAATTTGGGTGGCAACAGTGTGGAAGCAACTAAATATGAGAGAATTCTTTGGGGTTCCTAAATTTAAATTTGATATCTGTTTTTGAATATCTTTTAAAATTAAGGGGGTAGTCTGGTGTTGAGGCCTGTTTTAGGAGTTTATTGAGGATTTTTTTTTAATTGTAAAATAAAATATAATCACATCAAATCTTTTTACATCGTTTTATTCTAATTATTAAGTGTTAAAAAAATTGAAATTGATTATTTTTTACTTGATTATGTTATATATATATTTAATATTATTGTTTATACCAAAAAAATTATGTAGGCTGCTGGCGCAGGTGATAACTTCTATTGGTTTCATCTAAAACAAAAAAATCAAATTGATTATAGTTCGGTATGCTAGTGGCTATCGACCGAACTAAAATAAACCATTTTTGTTAATAAATAACAAAATGGCGGACTAATAAACAAAAAAATTTTAAATCGTCTATTTTTTATTAACAGAAAGTTAATAATAAAAAAAAGTTATAATAAAATTGCATAATTTTAGTTCGGGCGATAGCCACTAGCATACAGAACAATAAACAATTTGTTTTTTTGTTTTAGATGACACCAATGGAAGTTATCACCTGCGCCAGCAGCCTACATAATTTTTTTGGTATAAACAATAATATTAAATATATATAAGATAATCAAGTAAAAAATAATCAATTACAATTTGTTTTAACACTTCATAATTGGAATAAAACGATGTAAAAAGAATTGATGTGATTATATTTTATTTTACAATTAAAAAAAAATCCTCAAATAAACTCCTAAAACAGGCCTCAACACCAGACTACTCCCTTAAAGAACTGAGAGAATTTCCACTCGGATTTAATTGATCATAGTAATTAAATTATATTAATTTTTATGCCTAAAAATTCGGGCAATTTGTTTTAATTTTAATTCGTACGAATGGCATGTGAAATCCAATCGAAATTTTCTGCGAATCCCACACGTAATTCATACAAATTATTTTCACCTTGGTATACTTAAAAATTTTAATTCACAAAAGTTATTAATTATTCTTTTTATCCCTCAGGCACAAACATGGCGCTTTTAGATACCTGATGTCCGGTGTAAAGCCAATCATTTATTCTCCCGTCTGAAAATGGCGTCCATATTTGCCCTAGGTTAAAAAAGGACGCCATTTTCAAACGGTAGAACAAATGAATGGCTTTTTCACCCGGACGTCAGATAACCTAAAAACGCGACTTTTGTGCCTTTGGAATAAAAAATATCGTAAGTAACATGGGTCCAAAGGCAACCAATTGTTTACGTTGACGTTTGCTAGCACTCATTAACGTCTCGGGCTGCAAACGCCAACGTAAACAATGGCTGTCTTTGGATCCTTGTGCTTAATATACTATTTTACAAACGCTTATGATAATTTAAGATAGTTCACTTGCAGTAGTTGCTAATCTGATTACGGTCAAACGTGTATGTTGACAGTACACTGTTTTTGTTTTAATACCGAAGCGATACGCCCATTTTCTTAAAAGCAGTGAGAATAATGAAAATATCTTGAAAAAATGAAGACAAAAGTGATTTTCTACTTCTTTCCAAGTGTGTTAAATAGGTGTGAATTATTTCAAAAAGGTAAGTGCAATTTTTTCATGCAGTGTTTACATTATATTTTGTGATTTAATATCGAATTTGACCAAAATATCAGCACTATATGAATTGTAGGTCTTTTGAACAAATAGGAGCATGTTCCTTTGCCTTGGTTTTTTCGCTATCTTGTCTTGATAAATAACTTTCTCGTATAGATATTGTATTATTTTTTTATCATTATTCCTATCACTTTTACTTTAATTTTTTCTATCGTCGCGAAAAATGGTAAACATAATAATACACGGAGAAACTTTTTGTATCACTTTTGGTTAAACTCATATGTACTTTTAGTAAGTTGACTTCCAACGTGGGAAAAAAGAGAGGAAAAGACGAAATTTCTTATTTAATAGAAATCTTTTAAACAATATATGATAATAGTCAAATTACTAAAAATACATATCCCGGCTGAAAAAACTTGTACAAGTTCTTGTACATGTTCATTAATGAACTTGTACATTTTCTTGTACATGTTCAACTAATGTTCTTGAACAAGTTCAGCATCCGGAATTGAGACATGTTCTTGTACCAGAACTTGTACAAGATCCTGGATAAGAAAATATACTTGTACAAGAAAATGTACATGTTCTTGTACATATTTTTTGTGCAGGTTTCATGTACAAGTACTTTTACATGAACACGTTTAGGTTCTTGTACAAGAACATTTGTTTAAAAATGGTTTTGAAAAAAATTTTAATAAGTTATAATTATTATGACTCTTTACTTATGCATGCTAAAATTATTGCGCAGCTGTAAAGGCGTAAGAAAACTACTGCGCAGCCTTTAAAGTTTTTAATTTTTAATTTAAAAGACATAAATGAACATGTTCCACCTCTGGTACAAGAAAATGTACAGAAAACCTGTAAAAAAAATTATGTACAAGAACATGTACCTTTTCTTGTACAAGTATATTTTCTTATCCAGGATCTTGTACAAGTTCCGGTACAAGGACATGTGTCAATTCCGGATGCTGAACTTGTTCAAGAACATTACTTGTACATTTTCTTGTACAAGTTTTTTCAGCCGGGATGAGTTTAACAAAAAGTGATACAAAAAGTTTCTCCGTGTATTATTATGTTTACCATTTTTAGCGACGATAAATTATAGTAAAAGTGATAGGAATAATGATACAAAAAATAATACAATATCTATAGGAGAAAGTTGTTTATCAAGACAAGATAGCGAAAAAACCTAGGCGAAGGAACAAGTTCTCATCGGATCACGGAAGTTAAACAACGTTGGACGCGGTTACTACTTGGATGGGTGAGCACTTCTATTTTTTTTTCATTATTAATATCATTTTTAATAATGAAGATGAATATATCGATTTCTCCGAGTCATCAATAGGATAGAAAGAACAAAAAAACAATTCTTTTTTACGTTTCGGCAGCACTGCTGCCCTTTTCTCAAAAACAAATTTGTATATTTATGCTTGTGTTCATTTTTTTAATTTAATAAAATTGTAGTTTCTGAAGAGGGCAGCAGTGCTGCCGAAACGTAAAAAAGAATTTTTTTTGTTCTTTCTATCCTATTGATGACTAGGAGAAATCGATATATTCATCTTCATTATTAAATACAACCAAGTGATAAAATCATCATTATTAATATCATTTTCCCTATCATCTTTCTATCATTATTCCTATTATTTTTATATCTTTTTCCATATAATCTTTCTATCATTATTCCTATCAGTTTTTTTCTATCATCTTTCTACCATTTTTTTATATCGTCGCGAAAAAATGATAGGAAAAATGTGATAGAAAATCAATGATGGGCCTATCATAAATTTCCTATTATATATTTTCGTAAGAGAAGATATTAAATTTCATCGAATTAAAAAAAAATTGCGATTGCGCGTGTACTATCTTAAACTTGTAACTAAAATTTTATAATAATTAAAGTTAATTTATTGACTTAAATGACAGGTTTTATTCATTTATGGAATTTTATTGTTACCAATATTTTATTGTTTACATAATATATGACTCAATATGAACTCATTCATACACCCGGAGAAAAAAATATTAATTTTAAATAAAAGTGTATATTTAAGTAATTTTTATTTACTTCAAATAAATATTTTATTTAAATTAAATAAATATTTCTTTGAATTTATTTGATTTCAACGCAAGCATGAGCAGAATGCTGGTATACGCTATAAGTTGGACGCAGTAAAAACGATATGTCAGATTGACGCGATTAAGTAGTTTTTGTGCAAAGATTGATTATCAATTAAAATAAATGTTAATTTCAGAAGAATTAAAGAAATATTTTTATTCGCGAGTGTTTATTAATTAAATTACACTTTCATTTTATTGTTGTAATGCTGTTCTTCCTTTTTTGTGTTTGTTAAGCATAATATTTGATCTCTATTTAAATCAACGTAAATTAGAAATTGTTATATTTAGACAATATCCGCGTAGTATCCTAAAAATTAACCGCGAAATGTGAAAAATTAAAAGATTCTTAATTCTAATCATATTTTTTTAATTATATCCATTCTAAACTATCTGGATGAATAACAGACATTTCTGCCATTATATTTATTACTTCCCAGATAGCACCGAATTTTGTAGGAAGTTAATAGGAAGTTACATCGACCATAAGTTCGGAAGTTAACACTGTTAACTTCCCAGAAGTTTTAAATATCCTCAGAGTTAACTTGCTGGAATTTATAAAGCTTAATTTGCCGAAAGTTTTTTTTACGTAAGTTTGCATAAATTTTGCAAGAAGTTTTTTGTGATAAATTCAAAATTAAAAAAATATTCTTTTTTCAAGTTTAGTACATCCATAGCTTGTCTATAGGGAAATGTAATTAAAAAGTATTGCGCAGCTCTAGCTGCCATAGAAAACATCTGCACATGAAAATAGATTTTTAAGTTTACCATAAAAATTTTGTGTAAAATTAAAAAGGAAAGCTTTCAGCAAATTTCCTTTTCTAACTTTCCACAAGTTAACAGTGTTAACTTAAACTCTGAGAATAAATAAAACTTCTGGGAAGTTAACAACTTTAACTTTCAAACTTATTGCCGTTAACTTCCTATAAAGTTCGGTGCTATCTGGGTTTAAATTTTTTTTATATATTTGTTCTAAATATACAATATATTTGCACCAAATAAAAATTTATTTGTCTCAAATGAAAACATATATTTAAATTAAATAAACCAATTTAAATACAAAAATTTATTTGAGACAAAGAAAAGTTTAGTAGGCTCTGAGACAAATATCCACTTTTATTAAAATCAAATAAATTTTTTTTAAATCAAATAAAACATTTTTCTGGGTGTAATAATACATAATATAAGATTCATAGTTTTACTTACTTTTCTGAAAATCTATTTTCCTCTTAGCAAGAGTCGCTTTCTCATTTTGTAATTTTTCAATCCATGATCTTTGTTCTTCTAACTGATGAATCAATTCCTTGTAATCAGATTTATCCTTGATTTCTTTCATTGGCGACTTATCCTTCAAAATATTAATTTTGTTTTTTTCTAATTTTTTTTGTAATGTTCGCTTATCAGCGTTTTCTTTGGCATCATTTATGATTGCTATTTTCTGTGAAAGCAAAATAAAACAAACAAAAAAAATACTGTAAAAATTTAAGAATGATCTCATATAAGATCGTACCCACTGGGACTCTACAAACTGGACGGGATTGAACGAGGAATTTAACTGTAGAAATAATCTTAAAAATGGGTCTGATTTTCGATCTTCACAGTGGTCTGACCTCTTAATATGAAATTAATTTTTTTGCAAATAATTATAGTCATAATTATGAAAAACATAAAAATACATTCTTAAAACAGTAAACTATTTATAATTATAAAAGAATAAAATAATCCATTAAATATCTTTAATTGTCTAATAAACGGTTTACAATCTTGCTTATTATTATTTTTAGTTATGTTTTGAGGTTAAAAAAAATTACCTATGTATACAAAAAAGCTACTTCATTTAAATACACGGAAAAAATATGAAGTAACTTTCGCTATTTGCAAAGTACAACCTAAACTGTTCCGAACTTCTTAGCATTTCTGCAACTTTTGCTCCGGAAATAGAAAAAATTACTACTGAAATAGTACAGTTTACTTATTGGAAATACAGTCAAATCAATTTGATTGTTTACTTATTGGAAATACAGTCAAATTAATTTGATTTAATAAAATATAGATATATAAAAATACATATATATTGAATCATTGTGTCACACAAATCATCAAGGTTATCACCAAAATATATGTATATATAAAGAGGAGGAAAGGAGTTGAATTTTTTGAAAAATGTAAATAGTGAATTTTATAAGAGTTATAAGATTTTAACAATAAGAAAAAAGTTTTAACCCTTCGAAAATTTTTAATTTGTTTTTATACAAAATCGTAAACAAGAAAACAATATTCCTAATATTTTATGGTTATGAATATGGGTGATTCTCAAATGTTGCGTGATTGTAGACAAATCTACGCTATCACGGTAATTTGTTAAGCTTTAACAATTTTCAATCGGATCAGTAAGGAAAAATTCAATATATGATGAGTTCAGAATGAGGGTAACTTTATTTGTTTGTAAAATAGTTAATGATTTTTTTACATTAACTAATTAATTAATATCTCAAAAGCAAAAAAACACTCCCAGTGGTCAAAACGCCATGTTCGTTTTAAAGACGTTTTTAAAACGAACATTGTTTTTTGCCCATTGGGCATTTTCATATTTCTAAAGTTGAAAGTTCGTTTGAGTCGCACTAATTATAATCCTGAGAATTAAAATTTAGATTCTTGAGAATTTTAATAAATAAAAACTTTGAATTATTAAAAATTTTTATTAATAAATATTTTAAAAAATAAAAAATTGACATTTATTGAAAATTATTAGATCAGTTGAATTATTTTCATCAAATAAATATAGAAGTTTTCTATTGTATTATTTTGCAATATCAATTTAAGGTCAAAAATTAAAAAAATCTTATACAAAGAAATTGTTGTAAAGTAAATAAAATTTGGCAGACTTAACAAATCAACAATATATGTGAAATACTTTACAATTTTTAAAACAGTTGAAAAAAGAATAGGTGAGACCTGTGATCCATGCGTATATGAAAATTTTTTTTATCACACATGCTCAAAAAAATCGCGTTTCTGTAATCGAAGCTGTGGTTCTCGCAGTTTTAGATTAGGTGGCGGTAGAGGAAAAAAATTCCCAGACAGGGAAGAAAAGCTTGCCCACAAAAACGCGATATTTTCGAGTTGCAAACATTTAACTCAAAATGCAAACTGCGAAAGATTATTAGGTCGAATTCACAAGTGTCGAATTGACAAATGTTCTAACCTCTATTTCCATGAATTGTAAATTGAACGAAATGTTATTGTTTCGAATATTAATATGATCAACTTTCAAGCGAAAACAATTATATTTTGATCTAATTTATACTTTGTATAATTTTAAATTTCTCTAATTTTTATTTATCCTAATCTTTATTTAACCTAATTTTCATGAGGTCGAAATATGAAATGTTATAATGTTGATTTAACGTAAATGAAATTTATAATAAAAGTAATTTGACATAATTAGTATTTATGGTAATGATTTAATCTACGAATTAAAAAGAAATCAATTTTTCAAATCTTAGAATCATATTGAAAGCAAAATATTGTTTGTTGGAATTATATTTTCACATAATTTCTATTTACATTAATGGATTAATGACAAAATTAAAAAATGTCAAATTTGTAATAGAATCTACTCTTACAGTTGACGAATTTCTATTTCATCAAAATTATTATTTGCCTAATTGTCATTTAATATAATGTGTTTTTTTACGAAATACAAAGTTCTCTAATTTTTATTTATCCGATTTATAAGATAACCTAAATGTCGTTTTTCATATTTCTTATTCGTTATAAATAGGATGTGTTCTAATTATTATTTATCATAATTTCTTTATTTTCGAATTTAATTCTAACCTAAATATTAAAATCACTAATTGTAAATTAAAATAAATAAAATTTCGTCGAATATGTATTTCAACTAATCTTAATAGCATCAAATTATTATTTAAAATAAAGTTTACTTGATCGAATTTCAATAACTTATAATTTTCTTTGCATCTAATTTTTGTTTAATCGAATTATCGCGCCACATAATTGTCACGTGTCCGAATCGTTTGTCGTAGAATTCTAAAATTGATTTCTTTTTAATTTGTACATTAAATCATTACCATAAGTACTAATTGTTTTCGCTTGAAAGTTGATCATATTAATATTCGAAACAATAACATTTCGTTCAATTTACAATTCATGGAAATAGAGGTTAGAACATCTGTCAATTCGAGGCTTGTGAATTCGACCTAACAATCTTTCGCAGTTTTCATTTTGAGGTAAATGTCTGCAACTCGATATTTTCAAGCATTTGTGACAAATGCATTTGCACCTTGGGTGGGCCCTCGTTAATTGCCTCTCACAATGTTTTCGACCAAGCTGAAGAACTAGCTTCGTTCGTGCTTCGTCTTATTTGAAGGCATTGTGCTCGTCAATGAACTCGGGGTTCCCTCCCTTGGTGCATAATATACAAACAATTTTAAAAATAAAATTATTTATTAATTACAAAATAAAGTACCTAATATATAATTTGTTAGTATTTTTTGCAACAAGTTTTTAAAAACGTCATTCGAAAATACAAAATGTTAAAACACATTTAAATTGATGCATTTCAAAAATATTATAAATATTAAAAAATATAAAAATTTAAACTATTAAAAAATTATCATATGGGAAGAATGGAAAAAATCATTAAACTTTGTCACAGAGAACGAGAAGAAAAAAATACAAAAATAGTAAGTTCCAGTTATATCTGTACCTGTTTCTTTGCTGTCATTTTCGAAGCCTTATCTTCTCCTAATTCTTCTTCTTCTTCCGTGAAGCTGTCAATATTACTTTTAATGTACTTCCATCTGGATGAACTATTTTCATGAGCTGTCACATTAGCTTGAAGTTCGAGTAGGCTTTCTAAAAAAGAAGATAAATATAATAATTAAACTTGTTACATTAAATATACCTCAGATAACATAAGTATAAGTAAGCGCGACCTTCAATAAATGTTTTTCTATTACAAATACGGTTAACATATAAACATCGAAACACATACCTCCAAGCAGAAGAATTTGGCTACGGTGTTGTTTGCCATCACTACACTTTATTTTATAAAATCGAGTTTCCTCAAAATCTGTTAATTCTTTTGGTGAAAAGTTTTTCACATCTAAAATGTTCGCGTATTCATGCTTTTTTGTCTTAAATATGCGGTGATAAACATATTCTGGCGTTCCCATTTTTCACAAAATAAATATCAAACAACTATTAAAATAATCAAAAAAATTTAAACACGATAAAATTTTACAAAACGTAATATAAGAGGATTAATTTTTATGTTAATAGATTGAGCTAGATCTTTCTTCAACTCAAGAAACGTGTATGAGCATAAGAGACTACAGTCATTTCAAATCTGAGATTTATGGTTGGTATAGAATAGGTTGTTTCGACTCACAAAATACATGGTAAACTATCGGACGTTTGACCACACTTATAGGGTACGGACACAGCTCTACGGAAGCGCCTATAGGGTGCTCGCACAAGAAAAGACGTAGTAGTGTGCAGGATGTGTTTCAACTGAGATAGAAAAAGACAGAAATACCGCTCTTTCCTTTTTTATCTCATTTGAAACACATCCTGCAAACTGCTCCGTTTTTTCTTGTGCGACCAGCCATACGCCACCTTAATGCTGATTCTACACTTACCTCAAACTTCGCGAGCGGTCCGCATTTGCGTTACGTTTCTTATATATATATATATAGTTAAATATGAGAAGCGTCACGGAAAAGCGGACCGCTCGCTCAGTTTTAGGTGAGTGTAGAATCATCATAATGCATGAAGGCATACTCACTATCTTTGCAGTATGCCACTATGCTAAAGGCCTGAGCAAAATAGAAACGTACCGTATCGTTAACACAACCGGAAGAATGAGTTAGTGGAGGATAGCCATATTGTTTGTCCTTCTCTTACTCATTATTCCGATTGCGTTTGCAGTTATGATTCCGGTTACGTTTCTATTCAGCGTTGGCCTTAAAGGCCTTTACTCAATATGTTCCTAAGGCTTGTTTCAAAAATGGAGCAAAACGCAGACGCGACGCAGCCCTAGGGTTACCAACCGTACTTATTTCCCCTGACATGTACTCTTTTTAGGGTCTGCGGGATTTGTCCTACCGGCTTTTAATTACAGACGCCTTTTTGTAATCATTTTTAGTAGCTTTAAATAACTACGTAAAACCAACCAATCAAATGCTGCTTTATAACTCATACATGTATGAGTTTAGACTAACAATATTTGAATTTAAAAATCGGAAAGACTGTTTTAACAAAACATTTTAATACAGAAGATTGTTGCTTATTAGTTTTTTTGGACAAAAGTGCAAGTTAGTAGTACAAAGTATAATAATGTCATTTGTAAAAAAATTATATATATATATTATATATATAAGTGAAATAAATGTGACGCGACGCGAAGAAAGGGACCAATTTTTGATTTTCGGATTATGATTGATTCAGATAAATTAAGGATTGCTTTTTAATTATGCGAAGTCAAAATTAAATTTTATCAAATAGTTTTTTTGCAATAACGATTTAAACATGAGCGATTCGTGTAGAGAATTGACTCTCGTTCTCCTCACACAGACATGCCTACGCTCCCCTCTCACTCTGTCCATGCGTCACTTGAAGTTCGGGTCGGTATTCGTGATTTAGAGAGAGATGCGCTGACTACACCGTTCTCTCTCACTACGAAAGCACGTGTACCAGGTGCATCTCTCTTTACTTGCCGAAGACGCCCGAACACACAGACGCCAACTTGAAATAGTAGTGGCAAGCAAGAGAGAGTAAGAGATATCGGAAACTCTTCGCCACGTTCTTGCCTACTCTTTTCTCTCTCCTGTGAAATTGCCGTTTGGACGCTTAGGTCCCTTTCTTCCCGTCGCGTGACAAATATATATAAGCAAGATATTAAAAAAATTCGACTTTATCCCGTACATTTCTTATGCTTGTTTTGTGCACCGCTTCATGGCCATTTCGGACTTCCCCCACCCAACTTGAACAACCTGATTTACTTTTTATCAAAAATAAGGCATGTTATAATACAAATATTCAAATTGTTTTTAACTGTCACATGTGTTTTTATTGTCAGCGACCCATTATTTCTCGTTCATATTTTTGCCACTAGATAGCGTATCGCAGTTCAACCATTCCTATATTCTGTGGAGCTCTTCATATGTCATGTGATAGAAAACAGATATATATTTTTTCTTTTCTGTCGCATGCTTCCTGTACCCGTGACCAAATTCATTTTGCATTGGCCTTAAGGCCTGAGCAGAATAGAAACGTAACCGCAATCGTAAACGGAAGAATGAGTTAGAGAAGGATAGTCATATATTGTTGTTCTTCTCTTACTAATCCTTCCGTTTGCAATTACGATTCCGGTTACGTTTCTATTGTGCTTAGGTCATTAAGCCGGAGTCCCAAGACAGCGTTTTGTGTTGCGTTTATCAGTAGATCATTAGTGTAAACATAGCAAACATATATCTGCTTCTCTTTTACATTCATGGTATATTGACAAAACGCATCGCAAAAATCTGCCATGGGACTGAAGCCTAAAAGCACTTGTACACCTTCCCTATTCAGAGTATGTCTCCGTCGTGTAACACTTTTCTGAGTTGAAAATTACTTTTATAACCTAGAAATCATGTTAGAAAATTGTTTTCATGGAGGAATGATTTAAATTTCTATTTAATATAATCGTTATTAATGAAAGATATAAAGTTGTACAACTGCAGTTCACGCTGTCATGGGACGGTGCCTTTAGGCTGCAGTCCCATGAAGGCCTTCCTCCAATATGTTCCGAAATGTTTGCGTTGCGTGACTGACGCGTTGGTTGGCAAGCGCAGTGACGTCATCAAAGCATTGATGCCAATCGCGAACAAAAAGTTTTGTTTATGTTCCACTTATCCCTGTTTTCCAACTTTACGATTTTTAATACAAATGTTTATTGACGACTTTTAATATTCATAATTAAGAAATTCAGTGTCTTAAAATCCTAAACCAAACTTTTTGCACGAAATTGGTGTCAATGCTTTGATGACGTCACTGCGCTTGTAAACCAACGCGTTAAGGCGCGTGTATACCTCACCCATCCCGAGTATACTTGCGTCGCGTACCATTGGAGTAAAAGAGATGGGTAAAAGTGCTTTTCTGGAGGTTTTCTACGTATAATACATAAATGACGTATTATACGTATAATACTGTAGAAAACCAGGTTTTCGACATTGTAGTCGCATTCATGACAACATAACCTTTTTTTGTTATTTACATTCTGATTTATTGTTGGTAAATAACTATTAATTAATAAAAAAACTATTTAAATATTGGTAAATTGAGAACTTTCAGTTCAGTGAAATAATATTATCTTATTTGCAATAATTTCGTAAAAAATTTTAACATTTTAAGGGGGGAACACCAGTTGTAACTTTCGAAAAATCGATTTTTTTTGTGCATTTTCTTAAAGTATACATATTTAGAAATGTGTCTGTAAATTTCAAAGTTGATCCGGTGAAAAATAAATGAGATATACAGAACACTGCAGCGGCGCGTCCCGTGGCTTCATACAAGGTGGCCAGCCATACCTGACCCTAACGACAGATGGCCTTTTCCTATGATTTAGAAACGGCAACCACTGCGGAAGAGTTATTATATGGTCCAAGAATCGATGACTCTTTGTAACTTGGAAACAAAATTTCTTCTGAACAAAAAAAAAGTAAGTTGAAACTTTGAATGCGTTTTTCTCAAAATGACATTTTCCAAGTCGGTGACCACGATTACTCGAATACTATTAAACCGATTTATTTAAAATTTAGTGTGCTTCATTTACACATACAAGTCTAGTTCGTGATCGAAGGATTTTTTTTTTATGCAAAACTTTTTTTTATATAGCTGAAAATCGACCGTATTTTTTTAACGAAAATCATACTTTTGACTTTGACAGGTCGCCAGTTTGTCAAATTTTTTTTTTTTTTAATCCTTCGATCACGAACTAGATAATCTTATAATAAATGTAAATCAATTTCATTTTTGTATTTCAGACAAAGTATACTTGCAGAATGCTGGTCACCGCAATTCGCCTTTTTTCTTAAGACGCCACTTCAATGGCTCATATCTCCAAAAGTTTTTGTTAAAAAAATTTTTTTTTTCTTTTAAATTACAGTTTTTTACATGTACTTTTAACTAATAAATAGTATTCTTTAAAAAGATTTATTGTTCTTTTGGAAAATATTCTTGAAAAAAGCATTATTTTTTGAGTTACAACTGGTGTTCCCCCCTTAAATAGGCCTAAGCAGAATGAAATCTCTAATCGTAAATCTTAAGCTTTTACATAAGAGAGAAAAGGACAAAAATGTATTTCTATCCTTTTCTTTTCTCTCTAATGTAAAAGCTTAAGAGTATTTACGATTAGAGATTTCATTCTGCTTAGGCCTAATGTGCTTTTATTCTCAATTTAGAAAAGAAATACTAATATAATTTAAATTTTATCAAAGCATCGATAATTAATTTTTGCCAATATCAGAACTTTTGAAAATTGGAAATTCGAAACAAGCAGATTTAGGGTTATGTTTTTCAAAATTAGCCTTATGTATAATACACATGTATAATACGTGTCTATTACACGCAGGCCCGACAAGCCACAATGCATTATGACGCACTCACAACTTTTTGGCTGCCTGCCTGCCTGCAGGTTACCATGGCAACGCACGAGTGTGAGTGAGTCAGAAAATTTGAATATTCAAATTTTTAAATGTGAGAGCGCCTTTATAACGACACACTCTGTTGCAGAACCTGTCTACCGCGGCGCTAGCTTCGCTGCTCTATACAAACAAATTTTTTGTACATGCAGCCACTTTACTTAACCTTAAAGGAGATTATTCTTTAACGATTTTAATAAGCTAAAAATTTGAATATTATTAATATAATTTAAATAAAAAAAAAATTATTTTAAAAAATAAAAAATATACAGAAATTAATTAATTTTTCTAAATACAATTATTTTTAAATTTAATTTGCAAAAATTAATTAATTAACACGCTTTATACATAAAAAAAATTCTAAATTACATTTAATTAAATATATTTTAAAAACGATTTGTATTTATCTAAATGAAATAAAATTTAAATACTTCTTGCAAAAATAACGATAAATAATTATAACTATAACAATTTTGTGCAAAAAAATTATT